AATAAATAAACGATTTCAACATTTTCTCTACAAAATTGAAAAAAAAATAACATTTTCCATTCCAGATGCATTTACGGTATTGGATTCTATCCAACAAAATCGTTTAAATAATTTTTTTTATGCTATTAAAAACCCAAATTATTGGTTTTTGTTAAAAAATTATTCGCAACAAAGAAAGTTTTTCAACATTTTTTCTATACAATTTAATAAATTTAGTTATTCGCACGCATTTACGATATTAGAAAATTCTCGAGATTTTTAAACAAAATCGCTTAAATAACTTTTTCAAAGGCATTAGAACACTAAATTATTGATTTTAGGGAAGAATATTTAATATCGTTAATTTTTAATATTTACGATATCGCATATTTGATAGTAAAAATTGATTTTTGAATCAGTATCTTAATGAAATATTTGCAATAAATGAAGTATTTCAACATTTTTTTCTTACTTACATGCATTTACGACATTAGTATTTTTTTCTACAAAATCGTGTAAATAACATGTTTAATGCTATTAGAAACCCAAATTATATATTTTGGGCAAAAATTTCATATTTTAAAATATATCGTAAATTTTTAAAATTTACGATATCGCATATTTCATTGTAAAAATTGATTTTTTAATCAGTTTCTTAGAATATATTCGCAATAAAGGAAGTTTTTCAACATATTTTCTATACATTTTAATAATTCAAACATTTCATTTTTACCACGCATTTACGATATTAGAAATTTTCTCTAGATTTTTAAACGAAAACGGTTAAATAACTTGCTGAAAACCATTAGAATACCAAATTATTGATTTTGGGTAAAAATGTTTAATAATGTAAATTTCTAAAATTTACGATATCGCATATTTGATTGTAAAAGGCAATTTTTTTAATCAGTTCTTTACATCACATTCGCAATAAATGAAGTATTTCAACAGTATTTTTGTAAAATTGAAAAACATTAAAGCATTTTTCATTCCATATGCATTTACGATATTAGGCATTTGTTGGGATCTCCTAGTAAAATCGGTTAAATAACTTGTTACAAATCATTTAAACCCCAAATTATTGATTTTTGGTAAAAATGTTTATTATCGTAAGTTGTTAAGATTTACGATATCGCATATTTGATTGTAAAAAGCAATTTTTTAATCAGTTCTTAACATCACATTCGCAATAAATGAAGTATTTCAACATTTTTTTTTCTAAATTGAAAGAAGCAAGAATTTTCCTTCCATGGGCATTTACGATATTAGATATTTGACAAAATTTTTATTTTTTTTTTTTAAATTTTTTGATATTAGAAAGTGTTTTTTAAACAATTTCTTTGTAATATGTTCCTAATATACGTGAATTTCTTAATTTTTCTATTAAAATGAGTTTTGCTTCTCATATTCATTTACGATATTAGAAATTTAAGGAGAAATTTCAAGTAAAATTAGCTAAATATATTGTTCAAAACCATAAGAAACCTAAATTATTAATTTTACACAAAAATTTCTCCTACCACGAAAAAAATTCACGTTTTGACCAAATATCCTTGATAATCTACTCTTAAAAAATATCCTTAATAAATTCATTTTTGAACAAATATCTTTAAAAAATCCACGTCTTAACCAAATATCTTTGAAAATCCACCTATTATCGAAAAATCCACATCTTAAAAAATGTCCTTGATAACTCCACGTCTTTAAAATTATAAAATTCCCGCCTTGAAAAAATATCATAGAAAAATTTACGTCTTGCAAAAATATCCTTAAAATCCGCGTCTTGAAAAAAAATTTTTGAAAATCTATGTTTAAAAATCCAAATGTAAACAATATCCTCGAAATATCAATTTCTTTTTAAAAAATATCCTTAAAATCTTTTTTGAATTTTACGATACTACGTATTTGATAGTAAAAAGTGATTGAACTTATTAAAAGTTTTAACAAAACATTCGTCAAAAATGATGTATTGACTTTTCTATAAAATTGAAAAAAAAATCAAAAATTTCCTTTTTTACATTCATTTACGATATTAGAAAATTGACGATATTTTCAAACAAACTAAGTTAAATAACTTGCTCAGAGCCATAATAATCCCAAAATACTATTTTTATACACAAATTTTTTATATCGTAAATTTTAAAAAAATTTACGATATTACGATAAATATTTCAAACTTTTATAAAATATTTCATACTTTTTCTATTAAATTTGGTTTGGGTTTTCATGTTAATTTACAATATTAAAAATTTTATGTGAGTTTCAATCAAAATTGGTTAAATTGCGTTTAAGGAATGTTCAAATTTTGCTTCATAGAAACGTGTTTCTGTTCTAAAGATAAAATTTGTACACCTTTTCCAGAAAATTCGTTCAAAGAATATTTCATTGAGTTTTGCCTTATTAAGGCGAAGATCATATGTTTTATGATTTAAGTGTTTGTTTTCTCTTTCGAGACGAGCTTAATGATCTGAAATTTGCAGTGAAAAGGAAAGCCAGATAGACACTATCACACACTCACCACTATGCGACGCGTTTCGCCGTTGGTTAAGCGGCTCATCAGGCATATTTGATGTGGATGATGGCTTACAAGGGCCGTTCTCTGGAAAGTAGTATATATTTCGAACTTATTGCAAATTAGAATATGCGAATTATACACTAGAAACTCTCCAGGTTCGACTCAAGTTCTATTGGCAGATCTTTTTTCACAGCAACGTTTTGTTTTTTGTAGTGATGGATTTTTTGTCCACAACAACTACATTGCTTCCAATGCATACACTTGTTTTAGTGCTGCTTTAGGAAGACGGGTTAATGGCTCTGAACGTAGAGACGGCAACTTCTAGTTGGCTGCACACAGAGGTCCGCGGTTCAAATCCCACAGCTAGTAAGTAAGTTTTTATAGTTTACGATATCGCATATTTGATTGTAAAAAGCAATTTTTTAATCAGTTCTTAACATCACATTCGCAATAAATGAGGTATTTCACCATTATTTTTAAAAAAAGTAAAAATCGCATAAATAACTTGTTCAAAGGCATTAGAACACAAAATTATTGTTTTTAGTTTAAAAATTTAATATCGTAAGTTGTTATAATTTACGATTTCGCATATTAGATAGTAAAAAGTGATTTTTTAATTAGTTCGTGACATCACATTCGCAATAAATAAAGTTTGTTCAACATATTTTCTATAAAATTGAAAAAAAGCAGGAATTTCCATTCAATAGGCATTTACGTTATTAGAAATTTATTGAGATTTTTAAACAAACTCCTTTAAATAACCTGTCCAAGTCTTAAGAACGCCAAATTTTTAATTTTTGACAAAACATTCTCATATCGTAAATTTCCAAAATTTACGATATTAGGTGTTTGATATTAGAAAGTGCTTTTGAAACAGCTTCTTTCAAAAATATTTGTAATATACGTGATATTTCTTAATTTTTCTATTAAAATGAGTTTTGCTTTTCATATTCTTTTACGATATTAGAAATTTAGAGAAAAATGTCAAGTAAAATTTAGCTAAATAACTTTTTTAAAGCCATAAGAATCCTAAATTATTAATTTTACACAAAAATTTCTACTATTGTAAACATTTGACATTTACGATATTACGTACTTTGATAGTAAAAAGGGATTTTTTTATCAGTTTCTTAACAAAAAATTCACAATAAAGGATGCATTTCCATGTTTTTCTATAAAATCGGAAAAATCAAAAATTTTGTTTTTAAAATGCATTTACGATATCAGAAATTTGACGTGATTTTCAAACAAAGTAGGTTGAATAACTTGCTCAGAACCATAAGAACCCCAAAATATTATTTTTATACACATATTTCGTGTATCGTAAATTTTAAAAATATACGATATTGGATATTTGATATTGAAAATTGTCTTTTAATTAGATTCTTAAAGCTTTATTCGATATTTTATTTGATATTTCTTATTTTTTCCGTTAAATTAAGTTTGGGTTTTCATATTCCTTTACGATATTAGAAATTTTACGTGATTTTCAAGTCAAATTGGTTAAATTGAATGTAAGGAATGTTCAAATTTTGCTTTATTGAAACGTGTTTCTATTAAAAATTCGTAAAAGTAAAATTATTTTAGGAAATTTCATTCAAAAATAAGTTTTAATCAATTTATGGCATTTACGATATTAGCTATTTAATGAAATTACCTGATAATTTTCATTAAATTCTGTAAAATACGTGATTAGGGGCATAAAAATACTTAATTATTGTTTTTAAATGATTTTTTTTTTTTTAATATCGTAAATTTTGTAAACATTAAGTAGCCGATTTTTCAATGGAATAATAACCTTCTTCTATCGCCTGTTTTCAATCAGCGGCTTTGGATGAGGGCCGATAGCAAAAAAAAAAAAAAATAAATAAATAAATAAAAATCACTTATTCCATTTTAATATTTACGATATTAGATATTATTTTATAAAATCAGACCAATTTTGAGAAATCAACGCTTGCATAGAGTAGATTTTGTACATTTTTAAGAAAAATTCCACTTAAAAATCCAGTATTTTCACGTTGTGCGATTTACGATATTAGAAATACGAACAAATTGCTTGGGAATTTTTACCCCAGACTCTTAAATAAGTTGTTTAGAGTAACAAAACCAAGAAATTTGCTATTTGTAGACAAAAAGTTTTAATATCGTAAATTTTAAAATTTACGATATTCGATTTTTTTTTGGAAAAATATGATGAAATTGTAAAAAATACATTAAAAAAAGATGTTGAAGAGATAAACTACATACTTGCCACCTTTAAAAATTTACGATATTGCAAAAAAATCTTATATTTTGAATGGCGATAAATATTTAAATAATTAAAAGAATAAATGAAATAAAAATTAAGTGATAAAGACGTAATTATAAAAATAAATAGAATATATAATTGAAAGTATTTAAATATTCAACAAACCACCACAAAAACCTCGCCACATATGACAATTTATCTGCGAATTTTCAGAACAAAAGTGATATATTTATTTAATCAAAATTTCCTATACAGATATCTGAACAATTTTTTCTCCAACAAAAAATTGAATCATGTAAAACTTCTGCAAACTTTGATAAGCCACACAAAGACAAATACCAAAAAATCATAAAAAAGTCTTCCTTAAAAATACGAAAATTAGTGCCTTACAAAAGAAATAATCCTACAAAGTCCTATCTACAAAACTAAAACAACCTACACCACAACCACCAAAAAAAAAATACTCACAAACAACTCTCCACAACAAATCATGTCATCAAGTCAACCCGCCAGCCAACCAGATAGCATTGATTTGGCCTATGATATGTGGGCCGGCCAGTTTGAGTTTGTCGGACCAACAGCAACAACAGCCATCAATAAATCACAAAAATCATCGCTTAACAATAATATCCTGACCTTCGGTGACAAGTCCTCGCCCCACAAACAGTCCACGGAGAGTCTCGAGGATTTAAATCTCAACTTTAATGCACCCCACAATCACAACAACCCCCACCAGCAATACAGCCCCTACTCATCCCAGTCTATGACCAATTCGGCCTATTCGCTGGGCTGCAGTGGCTACGAAACGGATTATGGCAAACAGCCCATTCTGATCGATCAAGAGACATTTTTGAGTTTAAATCCGGCGGATTTTGAAGATATTGTGCCATCGAATTCGGGACCGAATTCATTGATTTTCATCGATAATAAATTGGTGGACGCCGAATACAATAATAACAATAACAACAACAATAAATTAATTAATTTAGAAAGTTTAACCAACAAAAGTAACAACAAAACCAACAACACCAATACCAACGGTTTTAAATTGGAAAATCTAAAGAATTTTAAAAATAAATTGATTTGTGATTACGAAGAGAAATCGGAAAATAACAACAACAACAATCATCACAACAAAATGAATGGTCTAAGTCTGGAGGTGTGCGAAAATCTCAATGAGCAAGTAAGCATTATTATTCAATAGATTTTAAGGACATCCTTATTGAAGTTTTAATTTTTTAATAGAAATTAAAAGTTGGAAAATTATTTGAAATAAAAGTCGCTTAAGGAATCTTTAATAGTTAGAAGTCTTTAAAAAATTATTGAAAATCCACCTTTTGAAAAATATCGTAGAAACTCAACAAAAAAGATATCCTTGAAAATCCACTTATTTTAAAAAAATATCCACATTTTAAAAAATATCCTTGATAATCTACCTCTTAAAAAATATCCTTTAAAATCCACTTCTTAAAAAATATCCTTAAAAATTTATTCTTGAAAAGATATCCTTAAAAAATTCACGTCTCGACAAAAATTCTTGAAAATCCGCCTCTTAAAAAAATATGCTTGAAAAATTCATTCCTGAAAAAATTCTTAAAAATCCACATCTTAAAAAATATCCTTGATAGCTCTACGTCTTAAAATTTCTTAAAAATAAATTGAAAAAATATGCTAGAAAAATCCACGTCTTAGAAAAATGTCCTTAAAAATCCGCGTTTTGAAAAAAATTAAAAAATAAAATATTTCTAAAAAGTCAACATCTTGAAATAAATCCTTAAAAATTAACCGTTTTGAAAAAGCATCCTTAAAAATTCCCTGTCTTGCAACTATATACTTAAAGATCCTTGAAATATCCATTTACTACAAAAATATCCTTAAAATTCCCTTCTCTTTAAAAAATATCCTTGAAAATTCAATTCTTTCATGGAATACTTGGAATATCCCCATCCGAATAAAATATCCTTTAAAATTGTTGTCTTAAAATAAGTTACCTTGAAAAATCCACATCTTGAAAAATATCATTGAAAATCCATGATTTAAAAAATATCCCTGAGAAAATATTTTTTAAAACTCCCCATCTTGAAAAATATCATTAAAAATTTTGTAGACTCTTGGATTATTGAGAGAATATCCGAGAAAATTTTAAATTTTAATTCTTGGGTTCCTAAAAATGTCCTGAAAAATTATATGTTTTTTGTACTCTTTAGTCCTTGAAAAATTATCCATTAAAAACTGCAGATTTTGTTGACACTTGGGTTTTAAAAAAATCTTGAGGAAATCCACGTTTTTAGGAATCTTGGTTAGTTTCATCATTGCAAAAAAAAAAATCTAAACAAACTATTAATTCTTGAAAAATATTCCCGAAAAATAAACATTTTCATTTTTGATTCTTCAAACCTATGAGCTTGAAAAATCTAGTTTTTGAGGACTCTTTCGTTCGCCAATATTTCGAAAAAATCTCAGTGTGCTCATTGATTTCTTTGGTGCTTGAAAGAATTCTTAAAAAAGCTCAAATTTTGATTCTTGGAGTCCTTGAAAACTCTAAGTTTTGTAAACACTTTGATGCTTGAAAAGTTTTTAAGGCTCTGGATTTATCAAAAAACTCAAAAAATCCTTGTGAAAATGCACTAGATTTTTTAGATTATTAAAAATATCCTATACCTAAAAATTTCAGTTTACAAAGACTATTGGGACCATGAACAGATTTCCATAAAAAATCCAGTTTTTGATCCTTAAGAAAATCTTATTGAAAGTATTAATTTGATCCTTGAGAAAAATCTTTAATTATCCACATTTGGTCCTTGAGAAAAATCTGCAAAAAATCCACTTTTAGACCTTTAAAATTTTTTTTGAAAAGTCCACATTTCGTCCTTGAAGAATAATCTTTAAAAATCCACGTTTCATCCTTGAAGAAAAATCTTTAAAAACTATCATTTGATCGTTGAATAATAATCTTTAAAAAAAACCTTTGGTCCTTGAAGAATAAACTTTTGAAAATCCACGTTTGGTCCAAAAATTATTCTGTGAGAAATCCTCGTCTGCTCCATGAAAATATTTTCTAAAAGACCATGTTTGGTCCTGCTAAAATCTACATTTGAACCTATAGAAAAATTTGTAAAAATCAACGTTTGGTGATGAGAATAGTCTTTTTTTGGTTTTTCACAAAAATCTGTAAAAATCCACGTTTGGCCCCTGACAAAAAATTAAAAAATCTACATTTAACCCTTCAGTGAAATCTTTAAAAATTCACGTTTAGACCTTGACAACAATCTATAAAGAAAAATCTACGTTGCGTGTTTGAGAAAAACGATTTCAAAACTCCGCGTCTTATCCTTAACAAGTGACTTTGGTCATTGAGAAAATCTGTAACACAATGCAAGACCACGTTTGGTCCTGAAGAAAATATTTATTTTAAAATATACATTTGATCCTTGAGAATAATCTTAACTAATCCGCATTCAGTCCTTGAGAAAGACAAGCAAAAAAACACTTTTGTGTTTTAAAACAATTCTTGAAAAATCCACGTTTGGTCCTTGAGAAATATTCTCTTTGGTCCTTGGGAAAAAGTCTTTATACTTTTATTAGCTCTTAAGAAAATCAAGTAGTCCACGTTTTTTCCTCGCAAAATATTTTTAAAAAATATTGCTTAAAAAACCTCCCTTAGTCCTTGGAAAAAAATCTTCAAGATATACCAGATAGTCCTTGAGAAAATCTTAAAAAATCTATGATTATTTCTGGGTTGATCCCTCAGATATCTATAAAAGAAACCATGGATGGACCTTAAAAAAGAAATGTTTAAAAATTTCAAGTTTGTTGCTCATATAGACTTCGAAGAAGTCTATTAAAAATTCTAATTTGTATCTTAGATTATCCTCCAAAACAGTCCTTTAAAAAAATCCATGTTTGTAGGCCATACCCTACAAAGGAATCCTTTATAAATCTACGATTGTAGGTCTTATCCTACAAATAAATCCTTTAAAAACATCCGTCTATAGGCTGTATCCTACAAAGGAATCCTTAAAAAAATCATATTTGTAGGCCATATCCTACAAAGGAATCCTTTTGAAAATTCACATTTGAAGGTCATATCCTACAAAGGAATCCTTTAAAAATCCACGCTATTTCCTACAAAGGAATTTTTTTAAAAAATTCATGTTTGTATGTCATATCTTACAAAGAAATCATAGCGATTTCAAAGGAATCCATTAAAAATCCACTCAATATCCTACAAAGGAATCCTTTAAAAAACCATACAATTTCCTACTAAGGAATCCTCTAAAAATCCACGCTATATCCTACAAAGGAATCCTTTAATAATCCACGTTTGTAGGTGATATCCTACAAAGGAATCCTTTAGAAATCCACTTTTGTAGGCCATATCCTACAAAAGAATCCTTTTAAAATCCAAATTATCCTCTAAATATTTAAAAAAAATCCATGTTTGCAACTTAGATTATCCTCTAAATATTTTTTTTTTTTGTAAATCCATGTTTTCAGGTCAGATTATTCGTCAAAAAATACTAACAAAAATCCACGTTTATAGCTCTGATTATCCTTTAAAGAAATTCTTTAAAAAATCCATGTTTATAGCTCAGATTATCCTTTAAAGAAATTCTTTAAAAAATCCATGTTTATAGCTCAGATTATCCTTTAAAGAAATTCTTTAAAAAATCCATGTTTATAGCTCAGATTATCCTTTAAAGAAATTCTTTAAAAAATCCATGTTTGCCGCTCTGATTATTCACACAAAAATTCGCGTTTATAGCTCGGAATATCCTTTGTCCCTCAAAAAAGTTCTTTAAAAAATCCTCGTTCATTGCTCAGATGGACCTCAAAAACATTATTTAAAAATCCAGGTTTATAGCTTAGATTATCTTCCAAAAATTATTTAAAAAATCAGCATATGTAACTCTGATTATCCTTCGAAAACCTTTAAAATTATCCGTGTATAGCTCAGATGCTATTTGAAAAATCCTTAAAAAAGCTCTTATTATCCTTAATTTTTAAGGTAAGTTTGTAGCTTAGACGCTGCTTATAAAAATCCAAGTTTTATAGTCAGATTATCCTTTAAAAAAATTCTATGAAATGTCAACGTTTGCAACACAGATTATCCTTTAAAAATCCTTAAGAAAACTCCATCCTTAACATTTTCTTTGAAAGTCCAAGTTTATTGCTCAGACGGTCCTTGCAAAAGATCTTTCATTGCATTTGAAAACATTTCTTAATATATCATTAGAAAATCAGGGAATGTTTTCAAGGACAATAAGAGTGGCCCTTGAAAAAAATCTCCAAAACATCTACGTCCTTGAGAAAAAAAATCTTCTTAATATTCTAATATTGGGAAAATTCCAATTTACTTAATTAATTTGGAAATGCCATCAATTTTACCCACTTGCCGGGTGGGCATGAGATTCCGTTCCAACCAATCTACATGTTAAGTGGCAAATATTAGGCGTCATGACGCCACTGCCATAAAAATGTCAATAAATTGAATATTATTTACTTGTTTTGTTTTTGTTGTTGTTTTTCGGTTTTTACTTTGCTGGGGACCGAGTTGGAATATTTTCCATTTAGTTCGCTGTCTACTTTCCACAGTGCCTGTAGCCACCACAAAATTAGTTAATTCCATTTGAGACAGGAATAGTTAAACAAAGCAGAAAATTGAGGGAAACCCCACTTTTTTCCTCCCACTCCTGCGGAACAAAAAAAAAACAGTTCATTATGAATTGACAGACAACGAAATGAACGAACGAACTGAATGAATGGAAAATAACCTCAGAAAAAAATCTACGATTCATATAAAATGTTATGACGGGGTTTATTCGACTTTTAGTTTTTGTTACTGTGGCTGGTAGTAGTAATACGCTGATATTTGGCCAGAGCGTGTGTGGTTTCTTGTTGTTGTTTGTGGAAAAAAAAAATAAAAATAAATATTGAAAATCAATCTGAAAATTTTGAAAAATTCTTAATCGCCATGCATAGTACACCCGAGGAGGAAGAGGATGAGCATGATGTGAGTATTGAAAATTATCGCCAACTTCCGTTGTTATCCAAATCCCCCACCTCGGCAAGCAGTAACCCACAATTTGTTTATAACAAATAGTATATGAAAAATTATTTTTATCGATTTTCTCACGCAAACGAAATGGGTGTCCGGCAGGCAGGCAGCCAGCCAACTAGTCA